TTGTAAATAATTATTGTTTCATGTATGATAAAAATTGGTCTTTTGTTGTACATGCAATTTTGATATTGAATAAAATTATACCTATATACAAATAAAAATTATTACTTAGAAACACTTCAACAATCATATTAAATTTGTAGCTGATAATCAGAACACCTTGACCATACATTATCTTATATATACATAATATTACCCAGTCTCAATAGATATACCAAAAGTCAGTAAAACAGAGTGCAAAATTCCATTAAACTGTGAAAGTACTTATATTATAAAAATGTATTTGTATTGTAATAGATATATATACTAATTAAATTTTATGCAATTAAGAATACTACCTATAAATAACATAAGTATAAAAAGGATAAAATATGACAAAAATTGTGTAGTGCATTTCCTTCACTGCTCCTCAAACTACACTCATTCCAATTTAATTTGAAGAGATGGAATTGCCTTGTATTATAATTTATGTATATTACCCTAATATATACATATCCATTTACTTTGCTAGTACTACTGTGTGTTAGAGCTCATTTTTTTCCATATACATATAGATGAGCAAATATTTTGTTACAAATATTGTCAGTCACACTTGATGCTGCCATTATATTAAATTGGGCAGAATAATACAAAATATTATTTGTTTATACATGCATTCATAACTGATCTTTTAAAACCAATAATGCACTAATATAAATTACTACCATACCAAAAGGATATTAGTGTTACTATTAAATACTCTATATGTTTAAATAAGAATGAAAATAATATTCTGAGAAATACCTTATCTTGTATTTTAAACAAGTTCTTCTGAACTTTTCTACTTGTAATATCTGGATTCAATGCTCATCTAACATATTACCAATGACAATGGACGGAGTGGAGGAATGCATACATAAAAGCCAAGGGTCAAAATTTAAGGAAAATATGGTAAATGATACTTTACATTAATATTTGTGCTGTTAATCTATGGAAATATAATTTTTTACATTTGAAATTCAGGCAAAATAAGTCGAACGACTTTATAGAATCAATCTCAAAGTGACTACTGAAAAAGATAAAAAGGATAGTTGTCTTGTTTATAAATAAATCAGGTAAATCCCACAATGACAAACTGTGATTCAGGTTGATTTGCATAAAATTAAAAGAATGTCCATATTGTGTGATCTTACTACACATTGATGCACTTAGCTTTTGTACTCAACCTGGAATTTGATTAGCAATGGTATTAGGACCAGTGGTGACCACGGAAGGAATTGCAGAATCCTGCATTAGAGTACGTGTTTCCTCTTCTTGATCGGAAAGTGGTATTGCTGGGGTGTCGTGGGAACTTGTCTGCTTTAACTTCAGTTGACTTGGCAGCTCCGTAAGTACCGGTCCGTACTGCGAAGTGGAACCCACCAGCAAGTCAGTCGATGGATTCAAACCGCCCAACATCTTTCCTCATAGCAACGCGTATATAAGATAAAGAAACGAACGTACATGCCAAAGCGCGGATGGTTTCCGGTAAACAAAACCAAACTCAAAATATACTTCTACAAAAAATATTTTGCCTACCTGACCACTACTTCCAACCATTCCACCCCTTGGAGATTTACCACGATGGAAGAAACGAATCCAAGTCCAGCCAAAACCTAACAGAATTCCTATAAGCATCATAGTAGCACCTAATGCTATGGAACTTTTTGCAGCATCTTCAACATGTTCTTCAATACTTGTAGGTGTGGCTGGATGTTCATTCACTTTTATCTACAATTATTTTTAGTTTATTTTCATATATTATTTAACAGAAATATTTAATTATAAAATTGATAAATCAGTTACTTTACAAATTTAAAAATATATTTTATGAAGTTTTACTTGCTATAATCTTTTGTATACATTAATATTTTAATGCTATAATCCTTATAAAAAATGTATGTATTACAAAAATGAAATTAATAAAGAAATGTGAAATTTATATATTATTATTACGATTAGCAAAAAATATTTCCATTGTATACATTAAACGAAAATATTTTGAAATAAAACAAAAATTATTGTCAGTCTTTAAATGCTAAATCAACAAGACACCTGCTGATTAAAATAAGACTATACATCATATATGTATTTCAAACATAAATAAGAACCGTAGTCTCGTTTAAATACACATTATACTGTTATCTCTTAAGGATTCAAATATTCTCATAGTAAAAATCATGATGTTGAAAAATTATTATACACCTTTAAAGTTACCTCTGTCTTATTTTCCTGTGATGTGTCATTGGATACAAAACTAACCAACATCGTCGTCAAACCAGCAACAAAAAATGACAAAGCGACCGAGAATAATACCCATTCGAACCACTTTCTAGAGCTGAGTTTATGTCTGGACATAATCCTCCAGAAACCACTTCTTAAACTACCACCACCTCCAGCACCATCACCACCGCTATCATATGTATAACCCACTGTCGTGGGTTGATAAACGGCACCGCTATCTGGCATATCTTTTCGCGAAATATATGCAATTTTTGCAATTTTCTATGCCCAGTAGTGGGCACCTTAATCACTCGCGAAACTTTTTGTTAAAAAGTACTAATCGGAAATGGATAAAAGTGGTATTGCCCAATACAACGTAAAAAGCGGTATTATTCCGTTGTCAACGTGTCAACAACTAATTCACGTTTGTAATTGTTTCTAAGCTTCTATTTTGTGCACTGTAACTTTAATTTTGTACGAATTTATTACTATATGCATTCGCAATGCAGATGCAATGTGCGCGTATGACGTACAAGACACCTAGACGTCACGTATCAAAAATCCACTACGGATGCCATAGATATCATGGATTAAAGTTATACGAGTGATATCAACAAAATATATCTGGTTTTCCCTCAAAGATACTGATTGCTATTGCTGTATGGTGGCACCACAATCGGATTCTACGCAGCACTTTCATGGAAAGAAATAAGAGGAGATATGCGTGAATGGATAAGTAAAGATTATTGATTTTAAGCATACAATCATGAAGAGAATAATTTATCATTTTTAAAGAAATATTTTATTCCTTTTTGTAAAAATTTTACAATACATTAATACTTAAGTAATGCATAGAGTACTATTATGCGCATCAAAATTTTCATTAAACATCTTTATTTTATGGGACACATAATGTAAGAAAACATAACTCGTACTAAGTAAAATGTACGTAATAATTACTGCAATTAAATAGGAAAGTATTAGATATAAATTAAAAAATGTTACTAATAAATATAAATTTATTTTTATCTTTTGGATGGATACTTGATAACAACACAGGCGAAACAGGCACAAACAAGGTACAGGATAGACCTAACACTTAATATATGTATTTTTGTGTCCAACGTTCTGAAATACCGATCATGTAAAATGCCAGAGGTTTTGTTATGCCCTCTACTATATAGAGCGGTGGGTTTAAGAATTACATATGTACAATCTAACCATGAAAGATGGTAAAGTCAACAGATGTAAAAAGATCCTCTTTTGTTAAATCTACGTATAAAGATACATACTGTATACGTATTGGATTGCCTGGGTAGAACTATTGACAACCTTTCGACAGCAATAAAACACAAGCATAGGATGAATTATCCAATGAAAAACTACGTTCTTATATTTTTTATTACAGTATAATGAAAGTATAAGATTTTATTGATGAAAGTAAGTCTAAATGCGGCCTCATTAAGAATGCTTTTAATTACACATAATACCACTGTAAAATTTGTTTACGAAAAATACCCACATGAGAGCAATAAAAAGTAAATGGGTCGCAAAAGAAATCAACTAAAGGGTAAGGTATAAAGGTTAGGTTAATAGCTATAGAATAAAGATTGACAGATATTAATTTTTTGGCTATATTTATTTCAGGAAATATACAATTTTAACCAAATATGAACTCAGAAGAAAATTTAGATATTCACAAAGATTCTGTGAATCTAGACAAATATTTGGAAGTGACATATTCTTTCGCCGAATTTTACTTATAATTATAGTAGCCTGCCTAACTTTTAGTTTGGCATATAACCATAAAATTGAACCTAACCTATCTACAAAATATCTAGCAAGCTGAAACGTTATTTAACTAGTTGTCATAAAAAGTGTTATTATTTGGAAAGTACTGCTGCTATTATAATTATATACACTTATTATAATTCACTTTCAAGTACTGTGTAAATCCGATGTTAGGTATCGATACTTATTCGACTAAACTAAGATCTTTTAGTATCGCAGCCGATTTGCTCGAATTATTTGATATATAGTTACAATTATATATCAAATAATATCGATTGCCCAGGCCTCACCACGTGGAGGTTGCTGCGAATGGAGGCCCGCCCTATCCACACGGTCCCATCCACCCTCCTTTTACGCGACTACTATTTATTTTCTACTCATTCATGCAACGCAACACCTCCTACTGATTGTATATTTGCAATACGTTCGAATTTTCGATCGCTATGCAAACGAACAATAGCAGAAGACTGAAGGAATTTTAACTAAAAAAAAAAAAATAAAAAGACGACGAGAAAAGAAAGAAAAAAATACAAAAAAAAATGTTAAAAGTATCCTATTAATTTAAACTTAAAGTACTTTAAGTTTAGCTTAAACTTATGCTGTAAGCTAAAACCTGACGAACTAGGACTGATGAAAGCCTTAATTCTATACAAGATATGTATTAATTTATACATATATCATTACTCTGTATTCTTATCACTACACAAGAATATGTGAAGTAGGAATCTGACTCGTGGAATATTCGAAACACAAAAGAAGAAAATATAAACAAATACGTCCCGCAAAGAAACACATCAACTTAAAGGACTGACTGCACACGGCTATCTCGAAAAAAAATCAAGCGTTTCTGTTCAAAATTGTTTACAGGAAACTAACGAAAGGAAAAAAATTACAATGTTTACAAACTGAGAGCTACCGTCCTAAACAACATGTAACTCGAGCACTGAATTTTCGTTAAAAACTTGCCTATTTAAATGTTAAAGTCTTAAATACTATCCTACTTAAGTAGAATTCTTACTTAACTTAAAAGTCGCCTGCCTGTCTAAGAATCTAACTTAATGTAGAAAAACGCCTACCTGTCTAATGATTTAACTTAAATTAAGAATCGCCTATTTAATTAGGAATTTAACTTAATGTCGAAAAATTGCCTACCTGACTAAAGATTTAACTTAAATTATAAATCACCTTCTTAATTAAGAATCCAATTTAATGTTGAACATACCGTGGTTGATTAAAATGCCACGTTCGTTTGGAAAACAACCTCCCTAATTAGAAATCTATATTGCACCCTGCCTATTCTAAAAATCTAAAGGGATATAAAGGAGAAAGAAGGGAAATATCAGTATGGTAAGATGAATTGCTCGTATGCTTCTCTGTCACCTGCAACAAACTCAAATTCAAACGAAATTAGTAGATAGACTTTACAAGTTACAATATGGGCGTCATTTACTTTTTTTCTTCGAATAATTTCCTCAGTTTTCGATAAAGCGAATCTGTAACAAACTCGTTTTTTGTTGGATTAATAAAAGCAAAAATGAAAGTTTAACAGCTGAAAAAAAAGATATTATGCACATATACGTATAAAATATTAATAATTATTATTATTGGGGAATGGAGTACTGTTTCCATAAGGACACAGCTTACATCCGAAAGCCTCAGCAATAATAATTAAAAATGAATGTTTAACAGCTGAAAAAAAAGATATTGTGCACACATCGTACATATATTTTTACATATTCATTGAAATAAAAGTGATATTAAAAAAAAGTGAAAGGTACTTTTCATTGTTAGCAATTACTTGATACACATTAATAACAAATTATTTTGG